CAAACAAACTTTCAATAAAGCTCCCAGTGGGTCAGCGGTGTGTTTACAGACTTACAACGCCAAAATATGGGGTTCGATTCCTCGCGTTGGAGTAGGCAGATAGCCAAATGTGGCTTTGCCATAAATTACACACACACACACACACACTCAATAACAAGATTATCTGACAATTGAAAACAAATATACATTGAAGTAAGATAATCTTCATTCATTTTATAATGTACATAAATTCAATGTTACTTTACATACTATTCATATCATATGTACATACATAATTATATTTTAAAAAATGATACAGATATTATTCATTCGATAAACTACGATTGCCATCAGTATAAATATATTTTTACAACGTTCACACAGAATGATATTTGGATAGAACATGTAGAAAACACAAATGTGTTCAATTTGGTTATATTGACGCGTCCGTTATTTTGAGAGTGAGACTTCAGAAGCTGACTTAACGAGATGTGTTGTTATTGACATGAAAACTGTCCCTGTTTGAATGTTCTTGATAAAGAGAATTTACTCATCTATCATTTTTAAAAGGAAAACTGGTCGAGATTTGTCAATTGGAAGTATGCTCTAAACGTTTATTTTTACCATTTTACGGATATTTGAGACGCATATCTAGTATAATAAAAATTAGAAAATGTAAGAATACTAGAAAAATAGGATAGTACTTCCGATTAATATATAAATCTAAAAGTTTATTGTACAAACAAAAATTAATAACAAACGTATCCTAAGTAACTTAACACTTGTTTCTAGCGCATACAACATTCTCAAATGTTTGTATATTTGAAGTTAAACACAAAGCTATATAATGGGTTATATGTGCTTTGCCCACCACGGGTATCGAAACTCAAATAAAAAACGTTCCAACTTTTTAAAGAACCATGAGTTAGTTAATAAATCGGCCCATTTGATTTTTTTTCATTAAAAATGGCTATTTTAATATCTTTTTTTTTATAACGGTAATGGAAAAATGAATAAAAAACCGTGGAAAATTAAATTGATCGAACTAAAAAAAAAATGTTTGAATGCAACAAAAAATCGTTAGGCCTAAATTTTGGTTTTGTTTGTTTACTTAGTTTGATGAGCAATTTAGACTAGCTAATACTTACTATTTGTCATCAGTTAAACTTAAAACAACAACAGGTAATGAACGTAAAGATAATGTTCCGTTAATTTACAGCATTATAGGACTAATTAAATCAGAATTTGTAGTAAGAGGCACTTTTATACACGAGTTCTTACCTAACTCTTGTAAAATCAAATAGCCATCTATCATTTTTCTTACATGAGGACTACTGAAAATAAAATCTTAAATTATAGTAAAGCGTTAAGTAACATAACCATTGATGAATTATACAACATTATTTTTAAATTCTTAATATAAATGTAATCGATCTCCATAACATAACCATTGAGGAGTTATACAACATTATTTTAATTTTCAATATAAATGTAATCGATCTCCAAAACATAACCATTGAGGAGTTATACAACAGTTTTTTAAATTCTCAATATAAATGTAATCGATCTCCATAACATAACCATTGAGGAGTTATACAACATTTTTTTAAATTCTCAATATGAATGTAATCGATCTCCTTAGCCCCACGCCCCCAGTGGCTTAGCGGTAAGTCTGAAGACTTATAATGATAGAAACCTGGTTTCAATACCCGTGGTGAACACAACATAGATAGTTCATTGTGTAGCTTTGTGTTTAACAAGAAACAAACAAACAAACAAAATAGACACATTGAGCATTCCATTTCTAAATACAAATACTCCAAATAAGTTATATTACAATATAGTGTTAACTGTTCGCAGCTTATTAGATATAATACACTTTGTTCAACAATACAATACTTTGACGGCAGAGTTCGTAAACTGATTCGCATTTTTCACAAAATCTGGCTCATGGTGGGCACAACACAGATATTCTATTAAGTAGGTTTGTGCTTAACAAGAAACAAACAAACACATTTTGAACGAATATCAAATTAATCTTGCAGGAAATTCTACAATTCTCTTGCTACCAATTGCGTGTTTAAAAGTTTTAGAACCTTCGCATATATACTTTAAGTTCATAGAAATTGTTTCAGATAACTGTGAATCACTTAAGTGCATTGACCAACATTAGTTCTACCTCCAAACAGTTTATATGTATAGTAATTCTACGTTTGTAGCAGTTCTATATACATAGTATAACATTACGTTATTAGTTAAATCATATTAGTGTTTGATAATTACATTAATTGTAGTATTTATCAGTGTTGTAGCTTTATTTTCAAAGCCTTATTATTAACATCACTGAACTTTCTCGAATCTTATTACGTTTACTTTTCGGCTATTACTGAAGATTTAACGTGTTTTATCACAGAGGTTATTAGAGTAAAGTCCGATTGATTATGTTAGACACACCTCATAATATGTTTAATATATCCTTTTTATTTATATTATGTTTTTAAACTTTATCAATTAGAGTACTGTTGTTCTAACTATTAATTTAATTTCTTATTTTTTATAAGTTATCATTTTGTATTTTCATAAAGATAAATTTTTGGTCGTGCTATTGGTACTGTCCTGCTACTTGATTGCACACCTATACAGTAACATGTATCGTAGCTGTCCTGCTACTTGACTGCACACCTATACAGTAACATGTATCGTAGCAGTTTATCTCGTATGTTAGGCTCCTCTAAACGTATGCTATAGGTACCGTTTAATCGTTTTTCATTGGTCATAAGGTGTTTTTAGGAAATACTATGAAAGTTCTGTTTATACACTGTGTAGCTTTGTGCTTAATAACAAACAACAACGAACGTTAAATCTACGACAATATCTGAAGCTAAGAAACAGTGTTTATGTATTCCATATTTCTTTCATGAGCAGCAGTAATTCTAGTGTTTAATATATTTAGTGTTATTATGTTTAATTTTTATTACCATACTTTTCTTATGGAGATTGTTTTTCAAAGTTAGCTAAGTAACTATTTTAATCTAGGCCAATCACATGATGTATTAATGAGTTGACGGCCGAAAATGTCTTCAACATTGAGGACACCCAACTTATTAAACAATACATTCTAATGCTTATAAGTATAATAGTAAGAAAAAATATATATAATTAGTTATTCTCATTACCCGTTTGATTCTGTGAATTTACCCGGTCCGTAAGTCGACATACTTTTTTTTTTCTGCCGTTTGGCAATTTTACACGCATCAGTGGAAATTCTTCTACGACCTTTTTTGAATGTTTATTTCTCTGTGACTGGTATCTCGTCCTGAATTCTTCCACATCTACGGCACTGGTAGCACGTCGAAATGTTTTCAATTTTACCCTTGCAAGTATGCTTTAAATCTGAGACATTTGACATCTGTCTTCCGAGATATATGCAATCTTAACTGAGAATCTGCTGGTTGTCCTTAAAGATTCTGATGGTTACTGACATCGCGAGAATCTCGGTAAATATTGTATTACAGTAACACCATGGCCTCAGGCAAAGTTCACTAAAATAATCTTTCGTCTATGAAAAAAGAAATACATGGTATGTCCTCCACTTATTTTCGTTTCTTTTTATTGACGAACACCATTCGATTTCTCATACAACCGTGCATATTCCATAAGATATGCAAAAGAGTTGAGGAATATTGGATGTGTAACTCCAGGAGATTGAGTAACGTACGTAGTCTAGGTGACACAGAGATTCGTTCTTAAATATGGTATAAAAGACTAACATCACCTTATGTTTTAGCTTAACTCAGAAAGCATTTATTACAATGATAAATCCATAAACCCAATTACTGTAAACATTAATCGAAAGTTTATCTATCTTACTTGCTACTTAAACTATTTCTTAAGTATTGTTATATCTTGCTTTTTATATGGTATTAATTTCTTCATTTAGTATTCTGGTACTTATTACTGTTTAGTCCAGCATGTTATGACAATGTCCTTCGTACACGTGTCTAGGTGTGGTTTATTTTGTTGAAGCAACCTACATTGTAGTTTCTTTTTATTCCTTTTTCTTACGAATGCAGTAAAAATCTTAATATGTATTGAATAGTTCAGTGTTACTCATTTCAGTTGACGTCGTAAAAGCACTTAGAACTAATTGCCATTTCATCCTAGTTCTCTTTCCTTTTTGACATACCAGGATTCACTAAAGAAGATGTGAACTTCCAGCAGTAATAGAGTGAGCCTCGGAAATTGACTGATTTAAGCCATTATCTGAATAATGCAATTTCGTTTATATCTATACCTCGGTAATTTGCAGTGAGCCACATATCAATGTAATTTCAATCTGACACATCATTCATTCATGACAAAATGTTTTTTTTTCTAAATCTTAATCTTTATACGATAATGATATTTTTCCTTGCTTGAAAATTATACGACCATGGAAAGTTCTTCATATAGACAATCGTTTGAT